CATTCAGCCCACAGACCAAGAATACCTCCTGGGTCCCACCAGAGCTGGGACCTGGGGATCAATAAGAACAGGCAGGCCTGGGACATACAGGTCCCTGGGCTGCTTTCTAATGCTGTCACAAACTGAGGGTCACTGAAGGGAAACAGACCCTGAGGTGGGCCCAACACATAATGCTTTGGTACTTTAACAATAGCCTGGCCAGATTTTCTAAGGAGGTAAACTTTAAGTAGGTTAGACAGGTCATCAGGCAGGGGGTACAGCCTGGAGGAGGCCTAGAGGGGAGATCTGCCTGTGGGACCCACAGGTTGGAGCCCTGTGGCAGGAAGTGGCCAGGAGACCCTCAGGGCTGACCCCTCAGGCCTCATGGATCTATTTAGTTGAACAGCATGCTGCAACTGAGCTTCTATCCAACAAATCCCTGCAGCCACTGGGGAGAGGGTGGCAGGGGAAAAGGTGGGGCAAGGAGGCCCCCAAGTAGGCCTGGCACCTACATCAGACAGGTGTCCTTGGGCCCATTCCAGATAATGACTGGCATCTCCAAGGGACAGAGACCTACTCAAGTCCACATACCAGTCAGTTTCAGCTGCCTAGTTCTGCTCTCAGTCCAGGCCTCCTTGCCTTCCAGCTCTGGCATGTGGTGTCCAAGGGTTGATGGAATGGGCACCTGCCCAGCTAGAGGAGCCAGGGGCTTCATAGTGCCTTGTGGTAGGTAGCTGGCCCAGACCTCTCTTAAAGTTAGGGGAGAAGAGGGAGCTAAGCCCCAAGAACCATGTCTGTCTGCTCCTCTGTGGTCCTCAGTTTGCCCAAATGCCAACAGAAGGTTTGAGCTGTTGCTTCCCACAGTTCATTCATTTCCCTGCTCAGCCCTCAGGTTGCTGGCAAGGTTTTAGTGGTAAAGAGCCTAGCCAGACACATGGATTCGTAAGTAAGCTATTAAAACAGGTGCTGAACTCTGCTGGGGGCTCAGGGAGACTTTCTGGAAAGGATGACATCAGTCCAGTGACACAGGGAAGGGCAATCCAGGCTGTGAGGGCAGGAAGCATGGTGTGTCCACTAGAATGAGTGCAAGAGGGACACAGGATGGGCATTAAGGTAGCGGGGGATGGGCAGTGCCAAGGCTCGACGTCTATGGGGCCCTAAAGAGCTTTGGTTCACCAGGGTAGCACTTGAAACAGCAGCTGTGTTGGGGCATTGAACACATGCCTCTTGATTCACCTGCTCAGAGGGGCCCATCTGGGGGTGTTAGTGTATTCACAGGACTGTGTGAGCACCACCACAATCGATTTCAGGACATTTTCATCACCCCCAAAAGCAATCCTCTTACCCATTAGGAGTCATTTCCCATTCTCCCTGTCCCCTGCCCTTGGCAGTCATGCATCGACTTCCTGTCTCTTCAGATGTGTCTCTTCTGGCCCTGTATCCTATAAATATAAATGGAATCTACTTTTGTGACTGGTGTCTTTCACAGAGCACAGTGTTTTCAAGGTTCCCTGGTGGGAGCCTAGATGGGGCTTCATTCCTTTTTGCAGCCGAATAATATTCCATTGTCTGGCATTGTTTCTCTTTCAACAACGAGGAAAGGCTTGCACTATAGAGAGCTGGCTCGGGAGGTTGGGCAGGAGGAGTCCAGATGGCTCTGCTAGGCCAAGGAGTGGATGGGAAGAGCTTTCTAGATTCCTGCAGGGGTGGGAGGTGGCCAAGAAGAGGCAGGCATGGAATCCTGCTGTGGGGGGTAGACCTGGTAATTGAGTGGCTACAGGGGGTGGGAGGAGAGGAGGAGCAGGCCCAGGAAGGGAGGGGGGGTTCCTGATGACCATGAACTGTGAAGCCACCTCCCAGGATGACTAGGAGCAGATCTGAGGAAGCTCAGGGCCTAAGAATGCCTGGTGGTAGGTAGGGTGACCTGTCAGGGACCCAGTAAAGCAGCCTAAACAGCCAGGAAGATGGTCTAGATGGAGGGGCTGGCACGGAGTGGTGGAGAGAGAATAGCCACCCGCCGGGCAGCCAGGGACCGGCCAGCAGATGGAACAAGCACTCAGCTGCATCTCTAGAGAGGGAGAAGTCTAAGCTTGGGGCCAAACCCTCTAATATCCTGAGTATGGCTCTAGACTCTCCCATAAGCCTCAGGCTCCCATGTGCAGAGGACACAAACTCGGAGAGGCCAAACTGCAGTGGGCATGGATTGATGCCCCAGGCCACTTGGAGACGGTGGCTACCCCCCTGGTCAGCAGCAGTAAAGGCTGATAATTGCAAACTCAGAGCTAAAGCCAGGGCTGCAGAGAGAAAAGGGACCCCAGACAGTGCCCAGAGCAGCAGCTGCTAACTCACCTCATCTCCAACTAGACTCCGGAGACTGTGGGTGCAAAGGAAGTCACTCCAGGCTCTAAGAGGTTGGGGATGGCTACAGCTTGTGCAGCCAGACTGCCTGGGGCTGACCCCAGCTCTGCTGCTAAAACATGGGCCCTGGGACAGAAACCTTCCCTCTTAATGTTTTTATTCCCCTGTCTGGACACTGGAGAGACAGGGTGACCACCAGCTCAGGGCCAGCTGAGCTTCTAGCAGTCAAAGTGGCCCAAATCCTTAGGGCAGGGTCAGCACTTCAAGGGAACCCAGAACTGCTGGCCGTGTGCACATTGGCCCCTCATGTCTGCCGTAGGGCCATAATAACGCCCTAAAGCACTCCTTGGTGCTGTCAGGGGGGGCCACTGGGGCTTGGTCAGTTGTGAAAAGTCTTGTCTCCCCCTGCGATTCCTTAGGACCTGGTCAGGACATCATCAGCCAGGGTGGTTGTTGAAGTGCCTCCAAGAGGCAGACAAGAGAGGCAGGCCTGAGGAGGGGGCTGTTTTCTAATGTCCCCTGGGAGTTGTGCTTGGCCTAGCATACTTGGCCTCATAGGTGTTGGCATCTGGTGTGCCAGCCCCACCCCCATCCTCCAGCTCTACCGTGGGACCATATCACTCCTGCAGTCTCTCCTCTGCCCCGTGGTAGATTTTCACCACTAAGGAAACTGCAGTTCAGAGAGGTCAATTAACTCATCCAAGGTCACTCAGCAGCTTGGTTTTGAGCCAGGTAATTGTATTGCTGCCAGAATTGTTCTAACCATTCTTCACAGAGAACCTTGGCAGCTCCAGCAGTGGATGCTATTGACCCATTTTACAGACGAGGACACCAAGGTCATGCTGCACACCCAAGCAGACTTGGGGTTTGCCAAAGATCCTGCCTACTAAACCCTGTATGCACCACCCTCTGGGCTGTGTATCCACCAAAGCCTGAACCCACACAGGCAGCTTTAAGAAGCATTTATAGAGCACTTGCTACAGCTTCAAGATCAGGCACAGGGCAAGAGGCAATGAAAGGAATATGGCTTCGATTCTGGGGATACGGAGAAAATGACCTCTAAATGGGTAATTATGGCAGGAGGGTAAAGCCCCTGGAGCTCATGTTGTGTTCCAAACACCTCTGGGCTGCAAGCCACAGGGAAAATGAATTTGCCAAGACTGGGGCTTGGAAGGTAAGCCCTGAGGACAATGCTGGAAAGATTAATTAGGACTATTTGTGTTAGCTGTTTATATACAAGGAAACTAATGTTCAGAGAGGTGCAGTCACTTGGTAAATGCCACACAGCACCCAGGTAGGGAATGAATGTCCTCTAGGTGAGGGCCCCTGGCACGTAGGTGAACACACAGAATTTCACCCCAGGAAAGACCTTGTCCTCTGAAGTTCTTTCCTACCCCGCCTATTCACTTAGGCTGAGAGAGGCAGAGCCTAACCCTCAACCTTGTGATTCCCAGTCTGGGCCAGCAGGAAGGGGTAGATGGATTCTACCCATGGCTGCCTGGAGGATGCTCTGAGCTACAGGACTGGTTATCAAAGACATCCCAACCCCTGGGAGAACCCAGAGTGCCAGCCGCTGCCCGAGTACAGGCACTGCCCCCCTCAGGCTAAACCTGCTACTGCAGGCCCCCTTTAGTTAAATGAAATAAACCAAACTGTATTATAGACCACTTTTCACTAGAAACCTACCCTGTGCAAGGGCTTGTGTTGGACATTGTATGTGGGTATGCAGAATACTCATCTGCACAAATAGGCCTTAAAACAATAATTTGGGGGACCAGAGAGATGGCTCAGTGGTTAAGAGCACTGGCTGCTTTTGCAGAAGACCTGGGTTTGAATCCCAGAACCCACATGGCAACTAACAACCATCTGTAACTCCAGTTCCAGGAGTTACAATGCCCCCTTCTGGCCTCCACGGACATTGTACGACATGGGTGCACTTACATACATGAAGGCATAACACTCCTACACATAAAATAAAAGGTAATAGTAGCTGGGCATGGTGGAGCACACCTTTAGTCCCAGCACTTGGGAGGCAGAAGCAGGCAGATATCTGTGAGTTCAAGGCTAGTCTACATAGGAAGTTCTAGGTCAGCTGGAGCTATAGGGAGACCTTGTCTCAAAAAGACCAAAAAAGAAAAAAAAGGTGGTAGTAATTTTACAGATACAGAACTTCATCTCGAGGTAGTTAGGCCTCTTGTCACAGGCCCAGTGTGTGGCCAGACGGGGAAGTCTGTGTGATTCCAAAGGTGTCCTCAGCAGGCACCATGTCACTCCCAACATGTCCTGACTGCCTTAGGACTCTTTGTCTATAGTGAAATCATTTCAAATGTGATCAAGTCACTGACTGGTTAGTGGTTTCCACCTAAGCAGTTAGGATCCCAGACTCTACCCAGTGCCTCCAACTGCCTCCCGCCCAGGTTAGGTGGAACTACAGGCTGTGGCAAGGGGAGACTGCTGATGGTGCCTACCAAACCCATAGGCAGCTTCAGGGGCAAGAATCCAGACCTTCTGGAACCTTCCAGGTAGAGCCAGAGCTGTCACGTTGAGACCCCAGAACTTCGGGAGCTGGGGGTCCCAGTATCGAGGTTGGGGTTTGTCCGCAGGCCATGGTCTCTCTGTGTCTCACCTGGCCTTCCTGGTGACTGCCCTGTGTTCTCTCCCAGGTTGTCCATCAGGGACCTTCAAGGCCAACCAGGGGGATGAGGCCTGCACCCACTGTCCCATCAACAGCCGCACCACCTCCGAGGGCGCCACCAACTGTGTGTGCCGCAACGGCTACTACAGGGCGGACCTGGACCCCCTGGACATGCCCTGCACAAGTGCGTCCTGCCCCAACCTGCCCCAGTCCACTCACAGAAAGGCTCGGAACAAGGGACATGGTCACCAGGAGCAGCCAGGGCCTGGAGGGGAGGGAGGGGGGACAGAAAGCCAGTTCCAGGGCTGGCACTGCACGGTTGGCATCTGGCCTCTACCCCTTCTGCTTAGTCACAGAGATGATAAAGTCAAGGTCTTGATTCGCTCAGAATAGGGCCAGTAAGGCTGGGCAGAGGAGCCAACACAGGTGGCCTCCACAGCAGAGGATGCTCAGGGTCCAATGTGCAGCTGTGGCTTGAACCTAGGTCAGAGGCCAAGGTTATCTAGGAAAGAGCAGTATTCTATCCCCTGCATCAATCAGAAGTGACATTCACAGAGCTGACCCCAGTGGCTTAAACCACACAGAACTGTTCCCTCAGGTTAAGGACACTAGGAAATCAGTCCTGGGATAGAATAGTGAATCCATGATGACCTCTAGAGCACCGGGCTTTTACCCTTCAGGTCACTTCACACCCCAACATGGTTGCTGAAGGTCCAACTATCACACATATTCTAGGTAGCAAAAAGGAGGCAAGGACAGGACTGTGCGTTAAGACACGACTCTAGGGTGCTGAGGAGTGGCTCAGTGGCTAGGAGTGCTTGCTGTGCAAGCATGAGGATCTGAGTTTGAATCCCCAATATCCTGTAAGGTACAGGCTCTGTGTACCTGTAACCCCAACGCTGAGGGGTGGAGACAGGCTGATCCAGGAGCTAAGTGACTAGTCAGCCTAGCCAAAATGGGGAGACCCTGTTTCTAGCCAATAGGCGGAGGATGTTAGAAGACATTAGATGTCCTGCTTCACATACCCCTGCACACCTATATACAAACACACACATACACCACACACTACATGCACACCATAACACACACTCCATATACACACACGTACTCACATACACATACACACACACCATACAACATAGACACACATACCGATTCCATAGTCACATACCACACACATACTCACACACCATACATACTCCGTAAACACATGCTACATATACACACACACACACACACACCATATAGGCATACATATACATGCACACACCACACACTCCATATACACACATACTCACACATATTCCACACCATATGCACATACATATAGTGTATGTATGGATACATACACACCACATATACACATACACACACACATGCACACATCACATACCACACAGATACACACCATGCACACACATATACCACACACACCATACATACACGTTCCATATACACACACCATACAGACATACCTACACATACCACACATATATACACCATCACACACCACACACATACATCAAATACCATATATACCACACATACACTATATACACAGAACATATGCATACGTGTCATAAACTTGGGTTGTATTATGAGGGAGGAGGAGGGCAGCAAGCTCAGTGGGTAGAGTTCTTGCCACATAAGCCTGACCACCCCAGTTCCATCAACAAACCCATATAAAGCTGAAAGGAGAGAACCAACTCCATGAAGTTGTCCTCTGACCTCCACATATACACCAGAGCATGTACACACACATATACAGGCACACTAAGGGGAGGGAGGGAGAGAGAGAGAGAGAGAGAGAGAGAGAGAGAGAGAGAGACCAGCTTTTATGTGTGTGCCAGGGATCCAAACTCAAGTCCCCGTGCTTGCAGGGTAAATACTTTACCAACTGAACCACTTTCTAACCCAACAGTCACCATCGTAAAATGAACAATTTGCTGGCATTTTGTCCTTTCCCAATGCTGAGCAGCCACCACTTCTATGTAGCTCCAAAATATCGTGTGTGTGTGTGTGTGTGTGTGCGTGTGTGTGTGCGTGTGAAAGAGAGACAGAGAGAGGGAGAGACAGAGAGAGGGAGAGACAGAGAGAGGGAGAGAGAGAGAGAGGGAGAGAAAGAGAGAGGGAGGGAGAGAGGGAGAGAAAGAGAGAGGGAGAGAGAGGGAGAGAAAGAGAGAGGGAGAGAGAGAGAGGGAGAGAGAGATGGATAGTGTCATCTTTTGTGCTCAGGTGCCCAGGGGAAAGAGATATCAGTGCACAACAGGATAACACATTTTAGAAGCTTCTTGGGGGTGGATGGATCAGAGGAAGGACTTGGAGGAGGTCCTTTGGAGGCCTGGGCTGGGGAGGCAGCGGGCATGGAGTGGGAATGCACCCACAGCCTCCTCTGAGCCCCCTGTCCCCTCCCCAGCCATCCCCTCTGCGCCCCAGGCTGTGATCTCCAGCGTCAATGAGACATCACTCATGCTGGAGTGGACCCCACCCCGAGACTCAGGGGGCCGTGAGGACCTCGTCTACAACATCATCTGTAAGAGCTGCGGTTCAGGCCGGGGTGCCTGCACCCGCTGCGGGGACAACGTGCAGTATGCACCACGCCAGCTGGGCCTGACTGAGCCACGCATCTACATCAGTGACCTGCTGGCCCACACACAGTACACCTTCGAGATCCAGGCCGTGAACGGAGTCACTGACCAGAGCCCCTTCTCACCCCAGTTCGCTTCAGTGAACATCACCACCAACCAAGCAGGTGAGCCCTATGGGGTGCAAGGAGAGGGGACTGTCACTCTGTGCCAGACAGTTCCCTGCCAACCTTTGGGAGAGACCCCTCACGTCTGTGGAGCAATTTCTCCTCTAAGGCTATTCATGAGCAAATGTTGGTGTTCCTCTGTCATCCCAGCACTGGGGAGGCTGAAGCAGGAGGATCATGATTTTGAGGACAGCCTGGTCTACATAGCAAGATCCTGTCTTTAAAAAAAAATGTTAACAGCTAAGACTGGAGATGTAGCTTAGTCAGCAAAGTGCTTGCCTAGCTTGCACAGAGCCCTGGGTTCAAGTCCCAGCACTGCATGAAACCGGGTATGGTGGTACAAACCTGTAATCCCAGCACTCAGGAGGTAGCGGAAAGCTGTTCAGAAGTTCATGATTATCCTTGGTTAATGAGGCAGTCCTGGGCTACATGAGAGCCTGATCTCAAAAACAAACTAAACTAAGCCAAGGACTTGGACTGCAGCTCATTGGTAGAGCAATTGTCTGGCATACATAAGACCTGGATTAGATTCCTGACACTGGGGGGGGGTGCCTGTGGTTCACTAACCCTCCGCCATCAAGAGGACAGGACCCTCCACACTGGGCACAGGCACCACTGAAGGTATGAGTGTGGCTTCTACAATAAAAGACCCCGTGGCTCCAAGAAAGCAGAGATGTCTCCTTCTCATGGAAAAGGTGCAGAGAGCAGGCAGCTATGGTCCACGGGGCTGTCAGGGACCCACGTGAATCAGGACAGAGAGAGAGGAGCCCCCAGGACATGGTGATGTTGGATCCAGGTGGACAGGAGTGGCACCTGTCCTGTGCGCATGCTCTGTGCTGTGGACTTGGTCACATGACCTCATAATTAGGGGGCTTGAGATGTCTCCCCTGAAGTGACACCTGCTCCCTTCACCCTTCCCAGGCACACCCCTCACCTCAAGTCCCATGGGATGACCAAGATCATTATGGTACCCTTGGGGTGGACCCTGTGAGCCTGTCCCTCAATTATTAAACAATCTTTGCCAAATGCATAGCGAGTTCTTCCTCTTCCCCACAGAGCTGCAGGGGAGAAACCAGCCTCTCCTCATCGCTTCTGTCAAGGGGAGCACATAAGGGGCCCCAAGGCAGCCCAGGAAAGCTTCCTGGGGGAGGTGGTCAGCTGCAGCCTGCAATCTGTAGAACCCCAGGAAATCAATAAATTCAGGAGAGAGAGAAAAGAGAGAGGCACCCAGGGCAGGGAAGAGAAGGCAGCCAGCTTCACCTGGTGTTGGGGGAGGGGGCTTCCACCGTGACCTCACTGCATCCTGAGGCCCCTGTCCCCATTTCAGATGATAGTCAGAGAGTGTATTAGTCAGCTATTGTAGTGATAATGCTGTGTAACAAACACACCCCCAAATCTAGTCATTTAAAACAGTAAACTACTGTGCATATGTTTGCAGTTCCTGTGGGACCACAGAACGTGGAGGCTGTCCACAGATTGGGGTCCAGGTGAGCTATGGCAAAGCAGGAGATCTTAAAGAACAAACCCTCAAAAGCCACAGTTGTTGGCCAGGATACCTGACAGGCTCAGTGGCAAGTCGCTCCATCTTGAGAAAGCTCAGCTGGAATCCCTGGCTTTGGCGAGCGAGGGCAGGCAGCAATGATTTTCAACATGCAGAGGGCAGAAAGGCAGCTCTCGGGGCCTGTCCTGAGCTATGGGGACTTCTGACACCAGGGCGTGGGAGCCCTCGGGATTGGAAGACAGAGGAAGGACTAGGGAGATGGCTCAGTGGGTAAAGTCTTAGGCGTACAAATATGAGGACCTGAGTTCAATCCCCAGAACTCACATCAAAAACTGACATGGTGACAGACCACGTATTCCCACTGCTGGGGCAGAGATGGGCGGATCCCTCGGGCTCACTGGTCAGATAGCCTAACCTATACGGTGAGCACCAGGTCAACAAAAGACCCTGACTCAGGTGGATGGTGTCTAGTGAATGACACCCAAGCTTAACTTCTGACCTCCACACATACATACACATGCATTTATGCATATTCACATGCTCACGCACACACACTCACACACACACACACACTCGAAGACTAAAGGAGGAGAACGCATTGGATTAGGAGCAGAGGACCCAGTTTTCCACCCTAGTTCTGACATATGTAGTAGTCAGCTATTATTGCAATAATGCTGTGTAACAAAACCACCCCAAAGCCCAGTAGTTTACAAGATTAAAAAAAAGTTTTCTCACTGACTGTCCTGTGGATCACTGACTGCTGTGCTGATCAAGCATTTAGGGTGTGGGCTCCATCCAATCTTTTCAATGAGCAGCAGCAACCTCAGGCTCATTTCTCTCTAGGTGAAGGGTAGGAGGGTGATAGGAGCCACCCATATCTCACTGGCCAAAGCAAGTCCATGGCCAAAGCCAGCATCAGTGGACTGGGAGGTGTGCTCTGCCACGGCAAGTGGGCCCTGCAGTTTGGGGCAAAGAACGCTGTCTGTCACACCCATTAAGTCACTTCCTCAGTCAGGCCCCAGTTTCCTCACCAAACTGTACACCAGGACCAGATGGCAGCTTTTTCAGACGCATGTTCCTGGTCTGTACCCAGGGAGCATGGAGAGCGAGTCCCAGGAGTAGGGTCTGAGATCTCGTTCTACCAAAGTGACTCTTGTATTTCTTACCGTCAGACACATTTGAAGAACTCATGTTCAAGTGAGTCCAAGTCCCTTTGAGCCCTCTGAGCCCTGGGCCTTAGTCAGTCCCGTGTTTCTCTCTGCTCCCCTTGAAAAGCTTCTCATCTCACAGCCCAGATGAGAGCCCAGTAGCCACACAACCCCCACCCCGCCCCCATCATCCCCTTTGCTAAGTGAGGAGTAGCCACACAACCCCCACCCCGCCCCCATCATCCCCTTTGCTAAGTGAGGAGGCTCAGGTGCAGAGGCCTAGGGACATTCATGTGAAATTTCTCTACTAAGAGGACCCAACTCCCACTTTAACGTTAGACTGTTTGCCTCTGCGTCTAGCCCGAAGCAGATGGACACACCCATGAGGACTTACACCCTGGACTGAAGTGGATACAGATGCAAAGCCTGTATTACAGCTGCCAGGAATGAGACCCAGCTGGGGGGGGGGGGCAACAGACCTACCAGCTTCTGGGGTGAGAGCAGGGCATGTCCTGGAAGAGACAACATTTGAGCTAGTCTCTGATGGCCTGAGAGATAGGCTCAGGCAGAGAGGAAGGCATCCCCAAGGGAGAGGGGTTACATGGGCAGCAGACAGAGGGGTCCCAGCCACAGGGCCTTTGCACATGTGACTCTGGCCTTCCTTCATTCCGGAGCTCCCTGACAGTCCTAGCTCAGAGACCCCCTCTCCAGCCCAGCACCAGGGCTTTGATTTTCCGCAGTGTAGTTTTATCACTATCACTATGCGCCTGTCTGTCTGTCCTGCTATCACCGCCCCGTGCTCCACAGAGGTCTGCTTTTCCTCATCAAGGCTGTCCCAGCACCCAGGAGGGGACACCCCACAGGGAGCAGTCTGTGAGCATTTACAGAAGGTTTGGGGAAGTGTTCGGGGAGGTGGGGTTTGGCGAAGCTGGAGAGGCAGGAAAACAAGGCGGGAGCCTCGGTTCCAGACCAATGCATTCAGTAGTAGATTTTGGACAGACCCTAAAATTCAATTTATAAATATCTACCTCACTGCCTTAAAAGGAAAAAGCCTTTCGTTTGGGCAAGCAGCAGGCCCTGCTCACAGTCCCCTGGCACTTGCTGGGGCCAGACCTGTCTTCTAACTTCATAAAGCCGTCACGCGCCTCCACCCACGCTGCCTTTGCAGACCACCTTCTGCCCAGTCATGAGCAGCTCTCAGGGCTGGGGAGGGAGGCTGAGCCTGGCTTGAAGGACTCACATTGGAAGGAAAGATGTCAAACTATATGTCCAGGCCCCACCAGCTGGGCACCACGGACCCCAGGAGCCATCTCAGTTCCACTGCCATCTGCCCCTAGACCCGACACACAAGAACACCAGCAAGACAGAGGGACAGCTCCTTGAAGAAGTGGCATTTAGGGGGACATGCATATGACAAGCTGGACAGCTGTGTGACTGTGGGGACAGAAGGAAGCAGCATTTCAGTAACGCAGGGCCAGGCCTCAGGGCCATCCATCATCCTTGGCCACCCTCCACGACTGCACCGGACATAGTCTGAGCCCTTCAGTAATACCCCCAAACTGGCTGCCCACACCTACCAAGTTCCAGAGATAGTGAGAAGGGTCTGGGCTCAGGAGTCAGACAGGCAAACCTGGCTTTGATTTTGTTTTGGGGGGTGTTGTTTGTTTTTGTTTTGAGTCAGGGTCTCATGTAGCCCAGGCTAGCGTCCAACTCAATATGTAGCCTTGAACTTCTGATACTCCTGCCTCTACCTCACAAGTGCTGGGATGACAGGTATGCCCCACCATGGCCTTGGCTAAGTCAGTAAGCTTATGTCTAGCTTGCTCTTCCTCCAGGGCCTTCTTATTTACAGGGCTTCAGTGAGGAATTCAGGGAACAATGTCCCACGCCACCCAGGCTGCCCAGTACAGGTAGGCACTCAAAACCCAGAGGTCACGTGCATGCACAGTGACCATAAAACCTACCACAGGTACCAACCTGCTCGGAACATGTAGGTGCTGGACCACATCCTTATTTGTGAGTCTCACAGAGCTACAGGGTATTTTGGCATCTTGACTTGTAAGTGATGCTAAGCACTGAGGTAAGGTACTTGCTCTCAGTCACCATGGCAGGAAGTAGCAGAATTGGAATATGACATCACCACACATTCAGGACAAGGCAGGGGCTGACTCCTGCAAGAGCCGGGACAGGTAGAGCACGTGGCCTGTGAGACCACAGCAGCAAGTAATGAGAACCAGAGGGACTGGCCATTTGGGCAGGTTCCCATCCTGTTGGTCACGTGGGAGGATGGTCAGCTGTGCCAGCTCTGACAGACTTGGCACTTTCTAAGCTGAGAGTCCCAACTGGAAGGG